CCCAGAAGCAGCAAGAGGAATAATGCAATGAATAATATAAGTTGAAACGTAGCAGAAGAGGAATATGACAGAGAAAGGAAAAAACTCGGCCTCCACTGGGACTTCAACCTGGACTTCAACCTGGAAAATTTCGCATCGTACATGGCGAAATTCATAACCACCTGACCACGATATAAATCACATAAATCACACTTTGGGTACTGATTTATTTTGCCACAGATCAGAGGTAAGGCGAGGGTGTCTTTTCATATCTCACAACCACCCCATCCCACCACCCGCAAGCTGTATCCGCCATTGTAGGGTTTATTTATCTAATAAAAATATCGTAAAAAATTACCAATCTGTATTTTTAAAAGAGCGCCACATCTCCATAAGTCTAGTAGTGTATTCTCTAATGTGCATCTAGGCTTACCTTCTAGGACTGTTATTATTTATATATTTGTTTATATATATATTATATAATAGATAATACACAGAAGACAAAAATGTAACCTTCTGTTTAAAAGTTCAACGCACAACATTAATTTACATATAAAGGTGTAGTTTACCGAAAATACTAGCTAGGCCTACATACGTCATCATAATGTCAAGTCTTCTTTCGAGTGCGACCTGCTTACTGTTGCTAGCTCATCCAAGGTCTCTGTCATAATCTGTGTTGGTCATTTCGATGTAACTTTGAAAGTTCCATGATACTTGTTGTTCATGGTCTACTTCACCAAGCATTGTCACCCATGTTACTTGACACAGTGAAGATCAGTACAGAATTGCTCTTACACCATATGTTGTGGTTTGAAATTTAGAAGTAGTTCCGTATTTGTTGTATATATTCGCACCAGGTTTTCATCAAATTCATATTTTTGTGATCTGCAAGTCATCATGAAGGTTCTGTTGTCCGCCGCTATTTTATTGACAATCGTTTTAGCTATTGACGCTACAGGTATCTGTCTTAACATATCAATAGTGTTTTATATACAAACAAATAGTATTTTACATTAGGCCTACATTATGTTTATTACTTTGTAAGCGTAGAGCAAAATAGTTATATTTATTAATGTACTTTTTTTTTTTACAAATAATTTGCTGATGTATTTACATAACAGATACTGAAATATATGAATATAGGACTAGTATAACGATATTTTTTATTTAATTAAAGAAAATCGTATATAGATTTATATGCGTTGTTGAAAATAAACTCAAAAAGCAGTTGTTAAATCATAATTCCTAACAAATTTTAGTATGACTAAGGTTACGAGAGATATGTAATCTACAATGTTTATTGTTTAATCCATTCAATTATTGTCTCACCTACCTTTATTACAGCGTACTATAGAAATCCGTGTGAAACCGGTGAACATAAATGTAACCAAGGCCACAGCAAATGTAAATATCTTGGCTATGGAAAGTACGAGTGTAAATGCGACAGTTGCTATTCGGGAACATTTTGCAAACAATGTAAGAAAATTATTGTTTTATATTAAACTATTTAGAATGAAAATGGAATACACCACAGCTGCCATAAATGGATGTTACCACTATGCTCGCAGATACCATGAATAGTCTTAAGATCAGTAGACTTCTTATTCAAGGACAATGCCTATGGTATATATTATTATAAGCGAAAGGTACGGTTTCGATTCCCGGTAGAAGCAAAATTTTCTTTTTCATTGTGATCAGATTTTCCTTTTTACTTCCCCTTTTTTTCCTTGCTCTGTTACTTTAAAATTATATATATATATATATATATATATATATATATAATATAATATAATATCTATATAATATAATATAAAATATTTCCAATAGTTGACGACCCATGTGATGACGTCACTTGCCAGAATGAAGGCACGTGTTCATCCAACCGAGACACATGCACTGCCACATGCAGCTGTCGAACTTGCTATACCGGACAATTCTGCCAAACAGGTAAACAAAGTTTATGATATTAAAATGTGTATTTATAATAAGTGATCTAAATAATAGCATAGCATATGTATAGTATTAACTGAAGACTAACATTATTGCATTAATATAGGCTATTTATTCTATTGTTATATTAACTACGGTATCTGTTTTTTTGCCCATTTTGATACGTAATAATGACTGTACATGATCTTTCATATCTTTTAATCCACTTTATCTATGCCGATTGTACTATTCATTTATTGTCTATGTCGATTGTACTATTCATTTATTTTACCTTCTATTCTTATGATAATTTATATTTTATTGACGATTTTAATACCTTTTTTAAATGATGATTATACATGAATATAATAACATAATCATTTTAATTTAGAATAATAATAATATTGACAGTTTTAAATTGTAATTAAATCAATTCTTTTTTCATTTTTGACGATTGTTACTACAGGATTTTTTTTATATTACCATAATTATATTTTTATTATATACGTATTTATTTTTTTAGTTATCAATTTATTCCTTTGAGATTGGTTTTGTTTTCTTAGTATTGTTATTTGTTTTTGTTATTAGAGGTTCTGTTAAGCACATTAAAGGATGACAGTATATTTTTTTAACTTTTGCTTTTCATCGTAAATAAGCAAATAAATAAATAGGCATAAATAAATAAACAAATAAATAAACAAATAAATAAATATATATATATATATATATATATATATATATATATATTCAATTCAATTCAATTCAATAATTCT